AGAGAGAGAGAGAGAGAGAGAGAGAGAGAGAGAGAGAGAGAGAGAGAGAGAGAGAGAGAGAGAGAGAGATTTAGAGACAACAGGGGTGACAACTGTCAATGTGACATCTCAGGTGCTTGGGATGATCTGAAACATTCTAAAATAAATACATATGTGGATCAATGAATGTATCGTCACATGATTTGTTGGTATATGATATTCTACAGTATAAGCAGGCACAGAGCCAAGCCAGTGTTTATGAAGGTGGGCGTTGATAGCCTTATCAGTCACATAATGAATTTATTGACATTCCAAACCCTCCCAGCAACATTCCACATAGCCTTTCATCACCCCAAATCATGGGATTTGAGCAATTTATGTTAATTTGATTATCATCAAACAGTACTTTCATTTGTGAACAGATTTTGAATTATGTGATATGTGGCATATACATGAGGTGGTAAACTAATTGAGAACATAGGATGTAATTGTTTTGTTAGCTACCTTTCATGGATAAAATAGCCTATCACAATGCATAGGAAGGGGTTCTCAACAGTCAACATGCATGTGAATATCATAATTGATGGATGTGCATGTTTGACATTCATATATTTGGCAGCTATTCTCGTGCATAATTAAGCTACTATTTGCGCATGTGCATAACACATAATTACTCACATAAACAGTGTCATATGCGACATCGAAGAAGAACATTGACTGGTCCAAAATAAGTTCTTGAGTTTGATCGGTACCCTGCTCCAAAAGTTGGTCTCCAGCTTGCTCTCCGTAATCAAACATGTCGCGTTTGCTCAAACTGTTCACTGATAACGCAATGGCAAAAAGAGTTGCCCATCCTAACCAAAGTCGTTGATGAAGATCCATGTTTAAATACGTCTATGCCCAGAACTATTATTAGTTTTGACCTATAGGCTTGGCTACCCAGTTTGCCAAAGCGGTTCCGATGCGGTGCACACCTCAGGTCGCACACTAGCGGAATGAATCGGCGGTAGCAAAAGCCCATACAAAGGGTGGGTGGAGTTGGAGGCGGAGAAATATGCATGAAACACTTACGCGGGGTTGCCTGCCTAAAATGCCGATTTCCATTCTTTACAATAATGCATCTGTCCCGACGGTTTAACCTTCTCGCTTCTAGATATGCTAGATAAATTAAACATGAAACATTTTATTTAAGTGCCTTTGCCTTTACTCGCAGTCTTTCACCAAACAAACTGAACCTTGTTCTTTCATGAATTGATAACCACATATTTAAGCAATTTATGAGTGATGATTTTGGGTGCAGAATTGCAGATCATTCTATATAATAAATCATTCTGTAATGTTTGTCCAACAACATACTGGTGGTTAAAAAGATTGAAATGTGTGATTAACCAAGCTACAGCAACTAACGTTACAGCGGCAGGTAGCGTAGAGGTTAAGAGCGTTGGGCCGAAATATTGTTGGTTCGAAACCCCGAGCCGACTAGGTGAAATATCTGTCGATGAGCCCTTGAGCAAAGCACATAACCCTAATTGCTCCTGTAAGTCGCTCTGGATAAGAGATTCTGCTGAATGTTAAAATGTAAACAACAACGCTGTTGAGTAGAGCTTCATGCAAACATATTTAGCTGCTGAAAAGTGTTGCCTTTGTTCAACTTCAAACCACATTTTGTTCCAAGTTAAGTGACAGATTGTAAACAATTGCAAACGATTGCAAAATAACTATATAATATGTGTGCAACATAGAGTAGTGTTGCAATGGTAGGTCACCATTTTCTTTTTCCAAACCAGATTAACTAGTTTAGCAAATTAATAACAAGGGAGAGAATAAAAATATAAACTACTTGAAACATATAGCCTATTGATTGTAGTTGCCTTTTTTTAAACTTTATTTTTCATTTGAAGACACTGCCACCTGCTGACTTGTGTCTGAAATGTGATGTCAAAGAGAATTTAACAATCCATTTTAATGGATGAGGAGCATTTCATAATCTATTTTTTTGTGTGATATATTTGCCTTTTGATTTAAATGAAAGCTACATTTACCTGTTTTACACATGTAGTCACTACATTCAGAGGTAGTATTATCACTATCAGGGCCTGGTCAGTTTGATGTACAGTGCTCCTAGTCTTTACTGACAGACGTTAACTTAATGGTGAATAAAAACACATCACTGACTGATTGTTTGCTAATTAAAATATGTAATAAAATATTTATGATGCAGCAATCATCAAGAGGCATTATTGTGTGTGTACCTTTGTATAAGTGTGCCAGGGTTGGAGTCAATTCCTTTAAAATTCTCTCAATTTAGGAAGTAAACTGACTTTCTACTTCCCGTTCCAATATTCCTCAATGCCTCCCTTTGAGAATTTGTTTTAATGGCAACTGGGATTTCAGCTTACTTTCTGATATGACTTTGGCCTTGCACCGGTCAGCGGCTCTGACTTTGGAGCCAAGAGATTGGGTCTGTAGTCAGGCTGTTGGAGAACAAAAACTTGACCTGTAGGCCACTGTCACTATGAAAACTGGGGTTCTCCTCAGAGTTGAATCCTATGTACTGCAGTGCAGCTCTCTAGGCTCTCTACTCTTTTCTATTTTACCAATGACTTGCCACTGGCATTAAACAAAGCATGTGTGTCCATGTATTCTGATGATTCAACCATATACAGTACCAGTCAAAAGTTTGGACACACCTACTCATTCAAGGGTTTTTCTTTATTTGTACTATTTTTTACATTGTAGAATAATAGTGAAAACATCAAAACGATGAAATAACACATATGGAATCATGTAGTAACACAAAAAGTGTTAAACAAATCAAAATGTATTTTATATTTGAGATTCTTCAAATTGCCTTGATGACAGCTTTGCACACTCTTTGCATTCTCTCAACCAGCTTCATGAGGTAGTAACCTGGAATGCATTTCAATTAACAGGTGTGCCTTGTTAAAAGTTAATTTGTGGAATTTCTTTCCTTCTTAATGCGTTTGAGCTAATCAGTTGTGTTGTGACAAGGGGGGGGGGGGGGGGGGGGGGGGGGGGGGGGGGGGTTGGGAAGATAGCCCTATTTGGTAAATGACCAAGTCCATATTATGGCAAGAACAGCTCAAATAAGCAAAGAGAAATGACAGTCCATCATTACTTGAAGACATGAAGGTCAGTCAATCCGGAAAATTTCAAGAACTTTGAAAGTTTCTTCAAGTGCAGTTGCAAAAACGATCAAGCGCTATGATGAAACTGGCTCTCATGAGGACCGCCACAGGAATGGCAGCAGAGAACTGGAAGGAATGGCGGCCAAAGGAGGTGTTGGCTTTGGGGATGACCAGTGAGATATACCTGCTGGAGCGCAGACTACGGGTGGGTGTTGCTATGGTGACCAGTGAGCTAAGATAAGACAGGGATTTGCCTAGCAGTGATTTATAGATGACCTGGAGCCAGTGGGTTTGGTGACGAATATGTAGTGAGGGCCAGCCAACAAGAGCATACAGGTCACAAAGGTGGGTAGTATATGGGGCTTTGGTGACAAAACGAATGGCACTCTGATAGATTACATCCAATTTGCTGAGTAGAATGTTGGAGGCTGAGTAGGTGTGTCCAAACTTTTGACTGGTACTGTACGTATCAGCAACCACAGCTAATGAAGTCACTGAAACCCTTAACAACGAGTTGCAGTCTGTTTTGGAATGGGTGGCCAGTAGTAAACTGATCCTGAACATCTCTAAAACTAATAGCATTGTATTTGGTACAAATTATTCCTTAAGTTCAAGACCTCAGCTGAATCTGGTAATGAATTGTGTGGCTGTTGAACAAGTTGAGGATATTCAATTAATTGGTGTTACCTTAGATTGTAAATAGTCATGGTCAAAACAAAACATATAGATTCAATGGTTGTAAAAATGGAGAGAGGTCTGTAATAAAGAGATGCTCTGCTTTTTTGACACCACACTCCACAAAGCAAGTCCAGCAGGCTCTACTTTTATCTTATCTCAATTATTGTCCAGTCATATGGTCAAGTGCTGCAAAGAAAGAGTGGCACGTCTTGCTCTTCATTGTAATCAGAGGGCTAATATTAAGTTGAGGAAAGACTGACTGCGTCACTTCTTGTTTTTATAAGAAACATGAATGTGTTGAAAATTCCAAATTGTTTGCATAGTCAACTTACACACAGCACTGACACACACACACTTAACCCACCAGACATGCCATGTCATGTCTTTTCACACTCCCCAGGTCCAGAACATATTAAAGAAAATGTACAGTTTATACAGAACCATGAGTGCATGGAACTCCCTTCCATCTTATATGTCAAAAAAATAGTAATAAGTCCTGAATCAAGGCTGTAAACCTACTAGTCACCCATAGGCAGACAGGTTACCTCCCACATTAACTGTTGACCTAGATCTGGGATTTCCGAAACTAGGCTTATGTTGGGTTCTATTTTTCTCATAATTGGATCTGTATGTGATGAATAACTTAGAAGGAATGCATTAATGATAAGCATAGGTTTGTACTATACTGATATAAATTGTTTCACATAACAGGCTGTGATTCATGTGAGGAACGTTAGGGGCTAGGATGAGATAAAACTTGTATTTCTTATAGATAAGACTTGTATTTCTCACAGATACGAACACTGCTTCTTTGTGATCTGTGAACCTTCCAAGGACATGGGTACTGCAAAAAAAGTGCTAACTCCACAGGTTGTTATGATAAACTTATGCCTGGCAAGAGTGTGCAACAAATGGAGCGCCAAGGGGTTGGGACCAACCCGTGCGCCAACGGATTGGCTGAGTAAGTCTAAACCACGCTCAGTCTACTCTGATTGGCCAACAGAAGAGGTGGGAACTCTCTGTCAGAGTATTTGAGAAAGAACCTGTAAACAATGGTTTAGTTCTCTGTCTGCCCTGCGTGGTATTTCAGTGAGCCCGTATACGAACCTTCATACTTATCATACATACATTTTGCATATAATAAATTTAGCTTGGATTGAATATCTCTTGATTATGTTTTCTCTTATTCCAATACCAGATTTGAATTACGCAATTTCTAACACTTACTGTAAACTTAGAGTCAGCAAATATCCCTCTGATAAACCTCTGCTGCCTAGTATTCAAAACAAAATCCACAATTTGCGTGTGTGGCAACCGTCATCTTTAAATCAGCCAGCTTTAAATCGTGAAGTAGCCTAGCATACAGCATCCACATTTCCTGAAGCCCAGTCGCCATGCTAGGGTCGGTGGTGTTGTTGTGGCTCTTTATCCTCCTTCTATTCTTCTTCATCAGGGTCCGCCGACCTAAAAACTTCCCACCAGGACCCCGTCCCCTGCCCATCCTCGGCAATCTGCTACAGCTGGATCCTGTCAACCCCCTCAAAGACCTGGAAAGGGTCAAGTGGGCTATACGTTGTAGGCTAGGGTTACATAATGACTAGACCGGGCGCCATTGCACGCATGTTGATTTTGTACACCCACACCAGACATGATCAGGACACACAGGTTGAAATATCAAAACCAACTCTGAACCAACTATATTAATTTGGGGACAGGTAGAAAAGTATTAAACATTTATGGCAATTTAGCTAGCTAGCTTGCTGTTGATAGCTCATTTGTCCTGGGATATAAACATTGGGTTGTTATTTTACCTGAAATGCACAAGGTCCTCTACTCTGACAATAAATCCACTGATAAAAGGGTAAACAGAGTTCATTTCTAGTAATCTCTCCTCCTTCAGGCTTCTTCCTCGTTTTTGGATTTTATATGTCGGTTGGCAACCAACTTTAATGTGTTTACGCTTTTCAACATGCGCGCGCAGACGCACCTGCGCCCTGGTCTAGTCAGCATGCAAGACCTACTCTCGCTAGACCTACTCTCGAGACCTGCTACGATAACCCTGCTGGAAATTACCTTTTTTTGGTGACGCTAATATTTTGGATAAAGCTTTCTACAAGCAACCCGTAATATAAGTCAACGGATTCCTATTATTCTGTATAGTAAATCCGAGACACTCCATTTAGTATGTATGATATGTTACGTTTCGTATGGTATGTATTATGGATGTCCATCACCCATTTCTTATGATATGTTACGAATTACAATTTGTATTATATGTCACGAATTTGCAACATGTACAATATGTATTGAATTTGCCTCGCCCTCCCTGCGCGCACACCACGTCTATTTCTATGGGCACAAGCACTGGTCATGACACAAACTGTTCACACCCTCTTGTTGGTGGAGAGAATTTTGCAGGTTTAAAGCTTATTTCCTGCAATTCTACAAATTTTGTCATGGGGTGCAAAGAAAATGTTGCAGTTTTAAAGCTATATTTCTTGCAATTCTATACATTTTGCCATGTCTAATGTGTATTCATGTGATATTTGAGTGACAACATCTATGGGCTAAAAACCTAATTAAAAAATGGTAGCTGACATGGGCTAGTTGATCTGATTTCTGACAAGTTATAAATAGCTCTCTAAGGTATGCAATGACTAACATGACAAGAGGAACTGATGATGCACTACCCAATTTCGAAATTGCACTACTATTACAACCTTCAAGAGTAAGTTTAAAGCCGTAGAGTTCTTTAAAAAAATAATTGGGGAACCACTGCCTTGAGTAACCATCTGTCTCATGTAACCATACCAAAGGTAACATATCATACTAATTTGAGTGTCCCGGATCTACATTTACTATGTTACGTCTACTCTATGAGACCAGGCTGACTGTATGGGTATTAAGTGTGATGTAGGCTAAAGTTTTAGGACAATGAGCAGCAAGAGTGGAATCAGCGGTTCGCCTTCAAAATAAAGGTCTCGCATTGAAACTGATGCAAACGGATACAAAGAGTGGAATCATGCTACAATTGGACTAGAAAATGCTCAAAAAGGTTGTAATGTCATAACACAATTTCAACAAAAGACAATGATTCATTAATTTGACAATAAACAGAAATAATGATCTAATTTAGTGTAATTCTTTGAAAGAATGAGTGAAAATTGTGGATAAAACCCACGCTTTCCATTATTTCTATACCGAAAAATTCTATGGGATTTATAAACAAGGGAAAAATATTGAATAAAAAAAAAAGGGAAACACTTTATTATCCTGGGTAGAAATTGTGTAATTACACACTAACAACACTGTGTAGATATGTTGTGAATAAGGTTGAGCTTTTTTGTTATTACACATAAGAATGGAAACCAGGGACACTGAGACTCAATGTTTAATATCAGAGTGCTACGCAACTTGTAAATGGACAAAATAATAGTAGTCAGCCTAGAGTTACTCCTGTAACCACTCTAAAACTCAAGACTGAAAGCTTATCCATCAACCCTTGCGTTTTCTCCCAAGTGCCTGAATAACATTTCAAAATAAAAGTCCCACATTATATTCTCACAATAAATACTCACCGTCTCTCTCCTGTGCTTCAGCTGAAGAGGCGCTATGGTAACGTGTTCAGTCTGTACATCGGCTCACGGCCTGCAGTGGCTCTGAATGGCCTAGAGGTGGTTCGTGAGGCACTGGTGACACACGCAGCGGAATATGCTGGACGACCAACCCATCTTCTGATCAGCCACGTCTTCGAAGGCAAAGGTAGTAGGTTCTTGACCCCTTTTATAATATGTGGTATAATAATGGGTACTGTGTGTGTGCCAGTCGGCGGTATCTGAGCCCTGGACTCCCACGGGAGAAACCAACATCTTTAGAATTAGCCCAATAGGAAATCCCCCCTTGGGCTAAGGGTGACACAGTAGCAGGCATGAGACCGTGAGCCCAACCCACGTCCGCTCCGTGTGTGTTTGTATGTGTGTTTGTATGTGTGTGTGCTGATCAGGGATCGTCATGGCCAATTATGGCTCCAGCTGGAGGGACCACCGGCGCTTTGCTCTGACCACGCTGAGGAACTTTGGTGTTGGCAAACACCCCATGGAAGAGCGCATCCTAGAGGAGGTGTCCCACATCTGCACTGAGCTGGAGAGCAGTGCTGGTACAGTCCCACACACACAACGTCCTAGTAATCATAGTCATCAACGTACATATGTATCAAATAATTACACTATTAACTATTAGTTGTAACAAACTTCCAAAACCACACATACTTGTCAGAAATAAGATACTCTCAGTAATACTCCCAGTATGACAATATTTACTATACTGTTTTAATATTAGGTATAAAGACTGTGGGGGTTGTTACTTTATCTATCCTGTCAGTTTGTTCAATTCAGTAGCTCTGTGATCGTCGTTCTTACCTTGTCTGTGTGTATTGCCTTGTGCTGTGATTGGTAGGCGGTTCGATGGACCCTCAGCACCTGTTCCATCTGGCTGCGTCTAACATCATCTGCTCCCTGATTTTCGGAGAGAGGTTCGAATATGACGACCCGGTCATCCTCACCCTCATCCAGAGGTTAGAGGAGTTGACCAAGGAAGCTCTCACACCTTGGGCCATGGTACAGTCTAAGCCCTGTGCCACTCCATGCTTACTAAAAAGGGTTCCAAAAGGGTTCTTTGGCTGTCCCCAGGTAGAACCCTTTTGGGTTCCAGGTAGAACCCTCTGGGGAAAGAACCCAAAAAGTGTTCTTCAAAAGTGTTCTCCCATGGGGACAGCCAAAGAATCCTTTTAGGTTCTAGATGGAACCTTTTTTTATAAGAGTGTACATGATCCTCACTGACCTCTCTGTGCTAGACATGACACACTGATCCACGTTTTACATCCATTTACTCCAATCTATCTTTTGTAGCTCTATGAAATCATACCGGTCTTGAGGCCCCTCCCTTTGCCCTTCAGGAACATTTTCCATAAATGTAATCAACTGAAAGAACATATCAAGAAGGTTGTGACCAAGCACAAAAGTTCAAGGGTCGCAGGAGAGCCCAGAGACCTCCTTGACTGCTACCTGGACCAGATTGACAAGGTAGGAGAAGGTCATGAGCCTATCTCCTGTTTCTGTAGCATTAAGCAGCTTGATGTACAAGTACACCCCTGGATAGGACACTAGTCTGTTGCAGGGCTTTACCCTGAATCCATCTGCCAATCAGAGAGGCATCGGATCCCATTTTTAGAGTCTTTGGTATGACTTCCGTAAACAGGGCAAACATTTTCATTGGGCTGGTGGAAGAGGAGGAAGTACTTTACAGGATGGCGCAGGGTGGAATGCAGAATTTAATTCAGAGGCCTTTGGTGTGTGTGTGTGTGTGTGTGTGTGTCTGCGTGCATGTGTCTGTTTCAGACAGCTGATGGAGGCTCCACATTTAATCACACTCAGATGGTGTCTCTACTACTTGATCTGTTCCTTGCTGGGACAGACAAGACTTCCAACACCCTCCGCTCTGCCATGCTACACCTGATGACCAACCAACATGTACAGGGTGAGGAAATATACACACACTGGCATACATTTAATTCAATTTGATGGCGCTTGTAGACAATGTGTCCGCATTCACGGTAAACACTGCATATGTCGGCTCAATAGGAAATTTGCTTTAAATATCAAACGATCTACAAAACTTTATTGGATTGAATCCCAGCCAAAGAGTGTATGTTTGTCCCAGATCGCTGTCACAGAGAGATCGCCGATGTTCTTGAGGGACGTGCAGACGCTTCGTTTGAGGACAGACATGCCATGCCGTATGTTCAAGCCACGATCCACGAGGCACAGCGCATGAGTGACACCGTTCCTCTTAGCGTGTTCCATACTACCTGCAGCGACACGCAACTATATAGCTACCAGCTGCCCCATGTGAGCATTACCATGACGACTGATATGCTGCCTGTTGGTGACCTTTGAACTATAAAGATCTCCTGGGCTAGAGTGATGTCATTATGGGTGCTGTCTCAGTCTTTAGTGTACCTCTCCACCTCTCCTTCTAACCGTTAATCCCTCTCTCCCTCTGTTCCAGGGCACGATGGTGATTCCTAACCTGTCTTCGGTGCTGCATGAAGAGGGCCAGTGGAAATTCCCTCACGAGTTCAACCCTGAGAACTTCCTCAACGAGGTCGGAGAGTTTGTGAAACCAGAAGCCTTTCTGCCATTCTCAGCAGGTGCCTTTTTGGAAAAGCGTCAATATCTGAGGCTTATCAATGATACTATGTTGTACAGCGACAGGAGAATATGTTGACATAAAATACCTGGCTGCGTGCATATGAAGGTATGAGTGGGGCGGCAGGTAGCTTAGTGGTTAAGAGCGTTGTGCCAGTAACCGAAAGGTCGCTGGTTCTAATCCCCAAGCCGACTAGGTGAAAAATCTGTCGATGTGCCCTTGAGCAAGGCACTTAACCCTGATTGCTCCTGTAAATCGCTCTGGATAAGAGCGTCTGCTAAATGACTAAAATGTAAATGAGTGAAATGTTGTTCTCATTGAGAGCCGTGTGTGTGTTCCCCAGGACCTCGTGTGTGTCTGGGGGAGGGATTAGCGCGAATGGAGCTCTTCCTGGTTCTAGTGACATTGCTTCGGCGTTTCCGATTCGTCTGGCCTGAGGATGGAGGTGTCCCAGATTTCAGCTTCATCTTTGGTGGGATACAGTCTCAAAAGCCCTGCCGCCTGGGAGTGCGCCTGAGGAGCAGCGAGAGAGGGTGAACTACCCACAGTCTCCACGAGAGCACTAGTTTTGTCAGACAGCTAGAGATCTTATTCTGTAATAATTCACCTTCATCTCAGTAACTCATCAGATGACAAGTAGTTTTTCAACAATGTGTAACCCACCCTTAAATGCCTTATAATGTCAGCTTCTGTAAGGATCAGATATTGGAATGATCATTCACAAACTAGATCTTTCAGTATGCTTGCATGTATTTTGTGATGCATACCATTGTTAAAACCATTGGTTTTGTGTTTCTGTTACTGACAACACATTGTATTTTATTTTCAAGTGTTTGTAAGTAAAATAACAATTACTAAAAACGTGATTTTGATTTAAAAAATTTGGACCTCTGATTTTATGCCCTCCCATTCCCTTACCTGCATCCATAACTCTTATGTTTGAGGTCAAAACTCCTGCACCAAACAAAAGATGTAGATGAAGCTCTATATGAGCTGCAATGCTTAGCCTACTCACAAAAGTACTGCAGACTGACGTTTCGTGCAGAAAGTTATTGCTATCTGCCTCCTAGATAGCATATGGTGGAGAATTTTATATAAAATCGTTTCTTAAAGCTTCTAAATGCTTTTGCCTTTACCAAACTGATTCTTGTTCTCAGATCAATAATAACCACTCAGATTTAAGCAATTTATGGAGAGACCTCTATAGTCTCCTCTCCAGAAATCTCCAATGCCAGATCCATAAAGATATCTCTCCTTGGCACTGGGGGGCGTTCGAGTGGATCACTTTTGTCAAGTCTTTCAAAGTTTGTTGTATTATGGGGATAAACATTTTCAGACTTTCGCCTACAGTGAGGGAAAAAAGTATTTGATCCCCTGCTGATTTTGTACGTTTGCCCACTGACAAAGAAATGATCAGTCTATAATTTTAATGGTAGGTTTATTTGAACAGTGAGAGACAGAATAACAACAAAAAAATCCTGAAAAACGCATGTCAAAAATTTTATAAATTGATTTGCATTTTAATGAGGGAAATAAGTATTTGACCCCCTCTCAATCAGAAAGATTTCTGGCTCCCAGGTGTCTTTTATACAGGTAACGAGCTGAGATTAAAGGGAGTGCTCCTAATCTCAGTTTGTTACCTGTATAAAAAACACCTGTCCACAGAAGCAATCATTCAATCAGATTCCAAACTCTCCACCATGGCCAAGACCAAAGCGCTCTCCAAGGATGTCAGGGACAAGATTGTAGACCTACACAAGGCTGGAATGGGCTACAAGACCATCGCCAAGCAGCTTGGTGAGAAGGTGACAACAGTTGGTGCGATTATTCGTAAATGGAAGAAACACAAAATAACTGTCAATCTCCCTCGGCTTGGGGCTCCATGCAAGATCTCACCTTGTGGAGATGATCATGAGAACGGTGTGAAATCAGCCCAGAACTACACGGGAGGATCTTGTCAATGATCTCAAGGCAGCTGGGACCATAGTCACCAAGAAAACAATTGGTAACACACTACGCCGTGAAGGACTGAAATTCTGCAGCGCCCGCAAGGTCCCCCTGCTCAAGAAAGCACATATACATACCCGTCTGAAGTTTGCCAATGAACATCTGAATGATTCAGAGGAGAACTGGGTGAAAGTGTTGTGGTCAGATGAGACCAAAATCGAGCTCTTTGGCATCAACTCAACTCGCCGTGTTTGGAGGAGGAGGAATGCTGCCTATGACCCCAAGAACACCATCCCCACCGACAAACATGGAGGTGGAAACATTATGCTTTGGGGGTGTTTTTCTGCTAAGGGGATAGGACAACTTCACCGCATCAAAGGGACGATGGACGGCACCATGTACCGTCAAATCTTGGGTGAGAACCTCCTTCCCTCAGCCAGGGCATTGAAAATGGGTCATGGATGGGTATTCCAGTATGACAATGACCCAAAACACATGGCCAAGGCAACAAAGGAGTGGCTCAAGAAGAATCACATTAAGGTCCTGGAGTGGCCTAGCAAGTCTCCAGACCTTAATCCCATAGAAAATCTGTGGAGGGAGCTGAAGGTTTGAGATGCCAAACGTCAGGCTCGAAACCTTAATGACTTGGAGAAGATCTGCAAAGAGGAGTGGGACAAAATCCCTCCTGAGATGTGTTCAAACCTGGTGGCCAACTACAAGAAACGTCTGACCTCTGTGATTGTCAACAAGGGTTTTGCCACCAAGTACTAAATCATGTTTTGCAGAGGGGTCAAATACTTATTTCCCTCATTAAAATGCAAATCAATTTATAACATTTTTGACATGCATTTTTCTGGATTTTTTTGTTGTTATTCTGTCTCTCACTGTTCAAATAAACCTACCATTAAAATTATAGACTGATCATTTCTTTGTCAGTGGGCAAACGTACAAAATCAGCAGGGGATCAAATACTTTTTTCCCTCACTGTAATTGTGCAATTATTTGGATCATCCATCCACACGGCGTCTCATAAAAATGCAATTCCACATCGAATCTTTGGCTCAGGAAGTGTATAGGAGATGTCGTACCCACTATGACTATTAAAACCTACTCTAACCAGAAACTGTGGATAGATGACAGCATTCGCGCGAAACTGAAAACGTGAACCACAGCATTTAACCATGGCAAGGTGACTAGGAATATGGCAGAATACAAACAGTGTAGTTATTCACTCCGCAAGGCAATCAAACAAGCAAACGTCAGTATAGAGACAAAGTGGAGTCGCAATTCAACAGCTCAGACACGAGACGTATGAGGCAGGGTCTACAGACAATCACGGACTACAAAAGGAAAACCAGCCACGTCGCCAAGACCGACGTCTTACTTCCGGACAAGCTAAACACCTTCTTCGCCCGCTTTGAGGATAACACAGTGCCACCGACGCGGCCCGCTACCAAGGACTGTGGGCTCTCCTTCTCCGTGGCCGACGTCAGTAAAACATTTAAACGTGTTAACCCTCACAAGGCTGCCGGCCCAGACGGCATCCCTAGACCTATCCTCAGAGCATGCGCAGACCAGCCTACTGGTGTGTTTACGGACATATTCAATCTCTCCCTATCCCAGTCTGCTGTCCGCACATGCTTCAAGATGGCCACCAGTGTTCCTGTACCCAAGAAAGCAAAGGTAACTGAACTAAATGACTATCGCCCCGTAGGACTCACCTCTGTCATCATGAAGTGCTTTAAGAGACTAGTCAAGGATCATATCACCTCTACCTTACCTGCCACCCTAGACCCACTTCAATTTGCTTACCGCCCTAATAGATTCACAGACAATGCAATCACCATCACACTGCACACTGCCCTATCCCATCTGGACAAGAGGAATACCTATGTAAGAATGCTGTTCATTGACTATAGCTCAGCATTCAACACCATAGTACCCTCCAAGCTCATCATTAAGCTCGAGGGTCTGAACCCCACCCTGTGCAACTGGGTCCTGGACTTCCTGACGGGCCGCCCCCAGGTGGTGAAGGTAGGAAACAACACCTCCACTTCCCTGCTCCTCAACACTGGGGCCCCACAAGGGTGCGTGCTCAGCCCACTCATGTACTCACTGTTCACCCATGACTGCGTGGCCAAGCATGCCTCCAACTCAATCATCAAGTTTTCAGACGACACAACAGTAGTAGGCCTGATTACCAACAATGACGAGACAGCCTACAGGGAGGAGGTGAGGGCTCTGGGAGTGTGGGGCCAGGAAAATAACCTCACACTCAACATCAACAAAACAAAGGAGATGATCGTGGACTTCAGGAAACAGCAGAGGGAGCACCCCCTTATCCATATCGAGGGGACCACAGTGGAGAAGGTGGAAAGCTTAAAGTTCCTTGGCGTACACATCACTGACAAACTGAAATGGACCACCCACACATACAGTGTGGTGAAGAAGGCGCAACAGAGCCTCTTCAAACTCAGGAGGCTAAAGAAATTTGGATTGGCACCTAAAACCCTCACAAACTTTTACAGATGCACAATTGAGAGCATCCTGTCGGGCTGTATCAATGCCTGGTACGGCAACTGTACCGCCTGCAACCGCAAGGCTCTCCAGAGGGTGGTGCGGTCTGCACAATGCATTACCGGGGGCAAACTACCTGCCCTCCAGGACACCTACAGCACCCGATGTCACAGGAAGGCCAAAAAGGACAACAACCACCCGAGCCACTGCCTGTTCACCCCGCTATCATCCAGAAGGCGAGGTCAGTACAGGTGCATCAAAGCTGGGACCAAGAGACTGAAAAACAGCTTCTATCTCAATGCCATCAGACTGTTAAACAGCCATCACTAGCACATTAGAGGCTGCTGCCTATAGACATAGACTAGAAATCACTGGCCACTTTAATAATGTTTACATATCTTGCATTACTCATCTCATATGTATATACTGTATTCTATACTATTCTACGGTATCTTAGTCACTTTAATAATGTTTACATATCTGCATTACTCATCTCATATGTACAGTGGGGAAAAAAAGTATTTAGTCAGCCACCAATTGTGCAAGTTCTCCCACTTAAAAAGATGAGAGAGGCCTATAATTTTCATCATAGGTACACGTCAACTATGACAGACAAAATGAGAAAATCACATTGTAGGATTTTTTATGAATTTATTTGCAAATTTGGTGGAAAATAAGTATTTGGTCAATAACAAAAGTTTCTCAATACTTTGTTATATACCCTTTGTTGGCAATGACACAGGTCAAACGTTTTCTGTAAGTCTTCACAAGGTTTTCACACACTGTTGCTGGTATTTTGGCCCATTCCTCCATGCAGATCTCCTCTAGAGCAGTGATGTTTTGGGGATGTCGCTGGTCAACACAGACTTTCAACTCCCTCCAAATATTTTCTATGGGGTTGAGATCTGGAGACTGGCTAGGCCACTCCAGGACCTTGAAATGCTTCTTACGAAGCCACTCCTTCGTTGCCCGGGCGGTGTGTTTGGGATCATTGTCATGCTGAAAGACCCAGCCACGTTTCATCTTCAATGCCCTTGCTGATGGAAGGAGGTTTTCACTCAAAATCT